AATAAAGTGCTTTTGCTTTCGCACTGAAACACACAGCGTCTCCCTGACATGGCTGCATCAACACTACTGCTGTTCCTGAAACCACGCCTTCTTTCTTTGAGTGCACATTTGGGCGGCATTATGCTAATATTTCCACATAGTGACGTAGATATGTGGGGGCGTGTTAGAATGAGCCATTTTAGGTAGGCGTGGTTGACTCTTAATGGTGTAGTACGAGCTCATGGAAAATGCTAATGTTAGCCTGATAGCACTGAAAGCGAACATCCCACCCTCCCTGCAATCGCCATCAAAAGCCACGCCCTCTGAATGCATTTATGCACACAGACCAGAACACCAGAGACAACATTACAATAGGCTACATCAGCGGTTCCCAATTCCAATCCTCGCGCCCTCCTGCTCTGCAGATTTCATGTGTATCTCTTATCACGTGCGACGTTCTATTTGACCGTGAATGCCCTGGGAAGTGTACATCACCTGATATTCCGCCATGATTCCAGTTCGAAGTGAGCGTATATGTTCCATACAAAGGGCATTCAAGTGTGCGAGACGTGAATTTAAATAGTATTTATTTACAGAGGTATATTATGTCACACTTCTCTAGTAAGTTTCGTCTGTGTGTGAAGACGCTGCGCAGCGCAAATCCGTGAATGAATGTTCCGAAGTGAAGTAAACTTCAACAGATTTCCCCTGCTTCCCTTGTGCGAGGACTGGATTTGGGAACCGCTGGGCTACATCATGTGTCATTCACCCAGTGAGAAAACTTTATAGTACAGTTAGTAAAAGTAATACAATACCATGAAGGAAGATTGGCTTGTTGATGTTTGTCTGCCATCCTCGCTCTGTCAGCGTGCGTGAACGCGCTGATGACGTGTCCTGTCTGTGCGAACAGGGTGCGCAGAGGTATGCAAATACATATGTTGACAGGCAGTTAGGAAAACCAATTAAAACGCTCGGACCGAGCGTTTTGATTGGACGAACATTTCTTAGTCCTACGCCTTCCACAGAATATATAAATACAGATAAATACATTTAGACCACTAAACTTAATGATTGCTATCGGGATGTGAAGAAACTTTCAACCAGCATAACAAAAAATGTTTCTGAAGACAATCACCTATTACACCTTTAACTTTTATAAAGAATATCTCTTTGGATTTGAGACTTTAGTCTTTGCAACTTTACAGATCTTCTTTATGCACCAAGAGCTTGTAACACTTCAAAGAGAAAGGAAAACTTGAAATCGCATCATATGACCCCTTTAAAAATATTTAAAAACTTAAACTTATTTTATTTCAGCTAGTTGCCAACGCATCATTTGTCATGTTCATGCAGTTTAGCTTGATGTATTGAAGTAAATAAAACTTTAAAAAGTAATAAAACCTATACAGACATACATATAAAATTCACCAAAAAAACTAAAAAAAATTCAAATGAAAACAAAATATAAAAAATCAATCAAAATATTAATAAAAATGATAATAGTATCTCAGTGATACTGAAATAACTGTTTATAACCTCTCACTTAGAGAAAGCTATTAAGAGAGTCCGAGATGCATTGGGACACAGGGCTCTGATCGGAGCATTTCCCATGTGTCCAATGAATATTCTTCTCAGTCATACAGATACTGTGGGCCTACGTAGAGAATAATCTGCACTTTATCCAGCACTATTCTAGGGATCTCTACCCAGTAACATCAGACAAATGTACAGAGGCACCTTGGCTTCAGGCATGCAGATCTCATCACACAAACACTCAGCGATGGGTTCACAGGGATGCTTTCTTTAGCACTTCACGCCTTTTTGACACTGTGACATTACATGCATGTGTATGTCTAGTTTCAGAAGTCCTTACCTTATGTAAAGAATTCAGATTATTTTCCTACGGCACACGCTGATTCAAGGCAGTTTTATAGACAGCACACACTGAGTTCATAAATTTTGATAATGAGCCATAAAGTCTGCCTTAAATATGAATGATGAGGAATTAATTTTCAGAGAGAGGTTCATATGTCTCAGGAGTTTCCCTTCAGAGATGTTTTTTCTTTTTCTTTTTGTCCTTAAATCTGATGATGCAGTGATTGGAAGCTTCATATCAGAAAGAGAACTAGCAGTAAATTGAATCACATTCATATGCAAGTTAATCAGGTTAAACTATTGAAAACCTTTAAATTATTTGATTGATTTCATAATTATGAAACTGATCACTGCTGTACACTCACATCTCTCATTCAGTGTGAGGTCAATGGTGTGACTGCATTACCTGGCGTGCCCTTTCCCCGCTAGTTAATCTCCCACAAGAACAGTATTAATTTAAATGAACGTGTAATACTGATATCCACTAATAAAGGGAGAGAGAGGGATAGAAATCCATCTAGCCTCTCACTTAACCATCATTACATCATCCTATACACACAATATCACACAGATCTTGTTCTCAAGAGATTAAAGCCATTCCATTCCATTCTCTCTGCTGTGCTTTAGCACATTAGCATCCTGTCCCCGGGTCATAGTCAGCTCATCAGATTTGACTATAGGGACATCCCCACTTAAAAAAGAAATTGCATCTGATTACTACAGATTACTACTAGAGTTAATTCTAGTATATAAAAAACATTTATATATTTAAAATAAACAAAAGCAAAACATGCAGAATTATTATTATTATATAAAATTATATTGTTACAATATTACATTATATTTAAAAATAAATGCAGTATAATTACATTATTTTTATTTTTATTAATTGTATTAAGTTTTTTTTATTATTGTTTTTATATAATAATATATAATTTTTTATATAATAAATTATAATTTATTAAGATATATTTTAAAATGATATACTGTATAATATATATAGAAATACATATAATTCCATAATATGAATTATTACTATTATTTATATTAAGTATTAAATATTTAAAAAATATTATTATTTATTAGTATTATTGTTGTTGTTTAAATATTATTAATACATTATTATTTATTAAGATATATTTTAAGAACCTATATATATATATATATATATATATATATATATATATATATATATATATATATACATTATTTATATATTCATTTATATATTATACTGGAATATATATTATCATTATTATAAAATTATATTGTAAATGTTGTTGTACAGTATGTATTAGAGTGTATGTATTAAAAATATACATATAATTTGTATACTATACACTGTAAAAAATGACCGTGAATTTAATGGTAAAAGACTGTAAAAATACTACAGTAAAAACCTGTTAAATGGTTAACGGTAAATTCCCCTACTATATACAGTGAAAAACTGTATTGGACATTACATGTATTGGACATTAATTTTACGGTAATATACTGTTTTTGGAAGTGAAAAAGACTGTATAATTTACAGTGAATAACTGTAAATTGACATTCCCAGAATTCCCTGCGTTACATTTCAAATTTGATGTTTTTTTGTTGAAATAACTATGTTTCTTCGTAGTTTTTTCTTATCAGTTTTGTATATTAGGGCTGTGTGTTACACCTAATGTTGTTAAATGAATGTTTATTGCATTATTTCAGTTTCATGTGTGTTACCATGATGGTGTTTGTGAATGACAATGTGCACCTTCTACAGTATATATGTTATTATTTAAAAACTGCTTGTGGTGGGCTTTAGTTCATCATGTGACATTCTCATCACCACCTGCAGTAGTGGTTATCAGTGTATTACAAATGTACAAAACAGATTTCGGTACTTCAATAGGTTGGTATATTAACATTATATCAGTTAATGAAATTACGGTATTTAACTGTAAACCGTAAAACATAAAACGTTGCTACCGTATTTTTTTACGGTAAAATTCCGGCAACCACATCTGCCGTTTTTTTTACTGTAAATTTTACAGATTTTTTTTTACAGTGAAATAAGTCTCTTTTCTAGCTAAACACAAGAACAGACTTGTTTTTAAACTAAAAAAAAATAAATAAAACTGCTGTGTCAGATTTTGCATTGCTCAAAATTATGATTAAATGGGATAATTGTGGACACGGTGCTGAAATTTCTATGAAATAACATAATCCCATCACCGGATAATAAATGCAAAGCCATGCACACACTTTACCATCATCCGTGATAAGAACACAGATCGGTCATTACCTCCACCGCCCGCTCGACCTCCCTAATGAGCTGGTAATGACAAGCCTCTTAATTGTTATGTTAATCAATTAAGCCAAAGGATCTTGGCAGAGGATTTTAGGACACAAGCGCTCTTTGTTGTCGTGGAAGGTCACGCTAGATTGAGTTACAGGTAATCAGTTTCACTCTCTGCACAAACTCAATCCACACGCCAAACACATCGGAATTAGGACAAAACTGAAACAATTCTATTACTTCTGTCTACACTTGTTGGGTCAACTATTACAACACATCAGAATCACTGAGCAAAACATCTTAAAAGGAACCTGGAAGCCTACAGCACCATCCAAATGTGCAGCAATGCTACTTTAACTGTAAGTAACCAACGCCAGGAATTGCAAACTGAGAAGCAGCAGAGAATAAAAAAAATAGGTGATGAGAATGTGTTACAACATATGATAGCTGAACATTATGTTTTGAGGACATCAATCTGGTCATAAAGAGTGCATATTTCTCGTTGAAGGATCCATGCTATGCTTCCGATATCAATATCTATAGTGTTCTATAATGTTTTGAAATCTGTTCTGAAATGTGCCACTTAATTGTGCATCTAAAATTTGTCTTGAAACACTAATATATGCTTTTGAAATCTGACTAAAATGTTGTGCCTCTGAAATCTGCCTCTGGAATCCTTTGCCTCTAAAATCAGCAGCTGAATTTTTATATCTGGAATTCACAGTGCCTCTGAAAACTGCATCTACAATATCATCTCTATCAATCACTAGTTGTTTCAAAAATGTTTAATGTTGTGGTCTCTAATATCTGCCTCTGTAATCGCAAACTCATTCCGTCTGCGCTAGTGTGATCCTGTCAAACAAGCGTTTCTTACCCTGAGCAATAAACGCGCATGTGGAGTCATCCACCGCAGTTAACGCGCCGCATGTAAGTCCATCAAAGTCAGAGACGAGAGAGAGGAGCTCTGAATCCAGACTGAAAGCGCACACCTGCTCCGCTCGGTTCTTGTCTGCTGAGCCGACTCCAGATCAATGGACTATGCCAGTGCGCGGCACCACCCTTTCCTCTTGGGTCAGTGGCTCTCGTGTAGAGCTGGAGAGCTATTGAAATAGCATTGCGGTAAAACTGTCTCTTTACTCATGACGAAACGCCTCTCAGTGTCGGCTCGAGGAGGAGAAGGAGGAGACGGGAACGCAAGATCACATTCGTTGTGCATACCCAAACCGACGCGACGCTTGCGCGTATGAGCACGCGAGGTTAGTCCTTCATAGAGACTTCATCCACACATCATCCAGTCGTTGCTTGTTGCTCAGGGAAGAGGAGTATTTTATAGCACAGCCTGTGAGATGGAGAGCAGCGCCGCGCATTGGTCCCTCACAGATTCTCAGTAGTCATGGCAACCAGATCACTTCAATCAGCGCGCGCGCAGGAGATGTGATACGCCGAGGTCACCTCTGCCACTCAAGGGCAAAAAGAGCGCACTGAGCTGATGTAAACATCTCCACGTTTGATGAAAAGTACCCTGAGAATATTATTGCTAACGTTTGACTTGCCATCAGTACAGGCATATTAATCTTCTATAGGAATGTGGAGTTTGACATTTTTTTTTTATAAAGAACCAGATTCCACAGAGTGAATACAGGCAAAGTGTGACAGCTAAGCTTAATCATCTTTAATAGTGTATATTCTTCCATTACTAAACATCAGCATTTAAATCACGCTTCTTTAATTCTGATATCATTTCTGACAACGTTATAGCATGTTTGGCCTGCAGTGCTGGGAAACACTATGATATACACTGACAAAAAGCCTTTTATAGCCATAAATCAGATTTTACTAAAATAATTTTCTAATTAATATTTACTAATTCTTTCATGCAACTTTGAAAGTGTATTGGCAAACTGGTATGTGTTTTGAAAATTGGGACGGCATTTATGTCATTTTTTATTTGACCATCAGAAATATTATCTCTAGCGCTATAATTTATAGGGGGTTAAGACCATGCATTATTTAAATGCATTCTTATCTTGTTGGTAATTCTTATTTTTATTATTATTAAGAAAGACACTAAAGGGAAGAATAGGCCAGGACAGCAGTCAGAAAAAAATTAATGGAATCTAAATTTGTAAATCTTATGCGAATATTATTATTATGCATTTTATTGATTGCATAGAAAATAAAACATTGCTGTATTCTAGTTGTCCTACTTTATAAATGTGTCCCAGTTTGTCAAACTGTGATTTGGGGTCTGTGTGTTTTGAGGAATTTCAAGTTTATGTATTTAATATTTCTTAATATTTAAATAGTATTGTGTGGGGGGCTAAACCATTTGCACTATATTTTAAAACAATGCCAATGATAAATTAACACAAAGTGTCCCGCTACCTATAATTCCCATGTCTTATAAATTGGACATAATTTGCTTAAATAGAAAAAAAAAACATCACTAATATGATTTGGATATGCACCCACTCTATAAAAAGTGACACTGTGCCATTATTACCATAAAGCAAACTCAGTTCATTTAGTGGTTACTGTTTGTAGCACATTTTTTAGGTTATGTTACAAAATATCTTTTGCAGTGCAAATAGTGTACACATTAAACAAATCTCGCGCGAGCGCACACACACAATAATATATTATTCAGTGGCAGCATGGTGGGTTTCCCTACAATTTGACCTACATATTAAAAGACCAAGTCATACAGCATCCCTCACAAATACACATCTACTAAACCACAGACCTCAGAAATGCAAAACCAGACAAACCAAACTTCACAAAGTATTTACTTATTTATGACACTAGTAGACTATATATTCACCTTTTAGAGCCCCTGTGCATTATGAGCACTGATAGCAACAGGAATACATTCATTCATTCAGAGCAGCTGTTAACTGGAATTCTGATAGCTTATCTTATCGTGTATACAGGATTTAGAACTAACTGAATGGTTTCATCTTTGCCAGTGTATAATTATAATGTCACAGCCACAGAGAGGAGTCTGAAAGCTAATATTACAATGCATCTCATTATCCTTTTTTCCCTAATTATTTGCAAGATTGCTCATCTATTTGCCATGCAAAGTAATGCATTTATCTTGTTCTTACACATGCTAAATCATATTAAATTACATATTTATTGCTTTGGATTTTATTAAAATGTTATCACATTGCAAAATGTATCACATAACACTAAACAGTGTTCACACTCTGATCCTCACACTAATGTATAACAACTTGCTGTCATTTTCCCTCTTAGTCAGCCATAGTTAGGGAATATAATACAAAATAATATAATGTAATATAATATAAATTACAACTGCACTGTTTTGGCAGTCACTGGTACATGGCGAGTCTAGGGACTTTATGGTAAGATGCCACGCTCTCATGAAATTTTAAATTGTTTTTCCCCAGAAGACATTTAGCTATGGTCTGGTGGGATTCAGAAAGACAGTAGACATAGCTTTGTCAGGGTTTCATGTTATTAAGGTATCTTAACCATGCATTTAACAGCAAACAGCACGGGACTTGTCTATTTTTACAAGAACTGTTTTCTAAAATATTTAAATATGAAAACATTGCCTCCTTATAATAACAATTTCATAAATGCAATAAGGAGAAATAAGAAGAGAGGGCATTTACAGTGATATTTCAGCTCTGTCACAAATGCCCCACTGTACTGGTATGCTGGCGTGGAGACTCAGTCTCAAATACCCCACATCAGTAACACCTCATACTACTGCAGATCAAAGATGTCCAAATATAATCTCTTCACTCATAGCTGACCTTTGCAATAGAATATGATTGTTGTGTGTATGTGTTTAGTCTTAGCAGCTAGGAATGTCTCTTGGTTATCTGAACTGGAAAATTCACCATGACATTGAGGGGATGTTTTCGAGGGTCCAGTCATCAGCACATGGGACCCCAGCGGGATTAGACTGCAAGGGTGTATGTGTATATAAATATTATTTAAAAACACTTAAAAAGGTGGGGTAACACTTTAAGGTCCCAGTAAACAATAGTACATAAGTTGATGCATTAAATGAGCAATACATTTGGTACAGTATCTATTAATCTTTGCTAACAATAATGAATTACAATACAACTGTATGTTTGTTAGTTTATTTTAGCTCAAGATACAACTTTTGATCTTAATAATGCATGAGTAAATACTGAAATTAACATTAACAAGAGGAATTTTTCTTTGCTAGTTCATGTTAATAAATGCAACACTTATTGGTAACCTAGATAGTGACAGAGTGAGAAGCCTGCATATTAAGTGCTTGTCTTTGCTTGCGTTTTCCCTCATTTGAAAGTTGCTTTGGATAAAAGCATCTGCTTAATAATTAAATGTAAATATAATGCAAGGGTATATATATATTCCTAGTCCTAGCTGGTAAATGCTAGTTTACCGTAGCTGTTGATTGCCAGCAAGACTTGAAATTTAACTTGAAAAAACATCCAAATGACCATGTTTTGCTGGTTAGGCTATAGTTCAGAGGTTTGGGGAGGGACACTAGCAGTGTTGGGGGGTAACTCATTACAAGTAATGCGAGTTACGTAATCAGATTACTTTTTTCAAGTAACTAGTAAAGTAACGCATTACTTTTTTAATTTACAAGAAAATATCTGAGTTACTTTTTCAAATTGCTGAAGAGTGTTTCTTTTCCTGTGTTCTACTGTATAGACGTGAATTTACTTTTCCTTCAGCCTGAGGTTTATTCATTACACTTTTTGGTGTGAAAGGGCTTTTATATTTGCTATAAATAGAACTTCTTATATTAAAAACAATCAAGCCCTGCTCATATTTAAAAAGTAACGCGAAAGTAACGCAAAAGTAATATAACGCATTACTTTCCATAAAAAGTAACTAAGTAACGTAATTAGTTACTTTTTTAGGGAGTAAGGCAATATTGTAATGCATTACTTTTAAAAGTAACTTTCCCCAACACTGGACACTAGTATACTAGCTTCCAAAACACAACATGCTGGTGATCTTTTCAGCTAGGATTTATTTTTGTATTAAATGCATCTGCTAAATGACACATTTAAATAGGCTAAACTGAATCTAAAGTAACATTTGTGCCTCTTTATTAGTAGCTGGTTTAAAACCAAGCTAGTTTACCTCATTTACATTGTGGCTCAGTATACACCCTGAAAGCACATGCATGAGTAGACACATACACACACAGCACATCACATGTCACAGCCCACCACTTACAGCATGACGTTGTGCACTAGCCTCTAATGATCTCACATGTGAGCACCAAAAATACCACGGAACGTGCCTTGCATGCACCTTCTATTCACACATACACACACAGCCACACTTTGTTGCATCTGTATATGTGATGAAATACACAGGAAAAAAATAACACCCTTATCTCCCGCTGCTGTTCACTTTACATTCCCTGCACTTGATCGTGTGGCTTTATCTCTGTCTGCTTGGCTTTAGTCACATAGTATTATAGACAGGAACATTCCAGCATGATGTAATTTTTCTAAGAGTAATGAATGGATTCAAGAGCACTTCAACTCACCTTTGATCTTGAGATGGTGGAATCTTTAGGCTACTGAATGTGCACTCAGTTTTGTATGTTGTGCTCACCATTATAGCAACCATCTTGGACTTTAGACAAGCAGATTTCAATAGACAATGGCATATAAATGCAATACTCAGTGATTTTTCTTTTTTCTGTAAACAAGAGTGTGAAATAACAGGGGTTTCTCAAAAGTCAGCTTGTCATGTGATCTCAACATTGCAGCCCCTATGCAGCATCCTGCTCAATGTAAAAAAAAGAAAAATGTATTAGGCGTCTGATCTGAATGGAGTCTCATAAATGTACATAATTTTAAAAATATTTTTCTAAAGCAATTATTGTATTTGAACACACACAGAAATGCAGTTGATTCATTAAACTAGCTGCAATTCAGTTTATATGACAGAGGCTGAGATGAAAGACGGGGAGAATATTTTGCCACTGTTCATTAAAAAAATCCTGTAATGGTCGAGCCCTACCTCTGTCCTCAGTTGATTAATTTGGTCTCTTTTGTCTTATTCTCTGCATTTGTTTCTGTCCTCCCCTTTGTCTATCACGTTAAGCTTTATTGGCTCTGCATTCAAGCAGAATTAAACTGTGCAGTATTGATCTTGCACTAGCTGTATTGGAGTGGATTATCGCTCTCTCTCTCTCTCTCTCTCTCTCTCTCTCTCTCTCCCCCTTCATTTTTGCTCTCTCGGAATAAAAATGAAGGTTAAATACACAACTGCAACATTCAAATATCTTGATATCTTGTGCACTGCTATTTTTAAGTTACTTATCTTCTTCTG